AAAAAAAAAAAAAAAAATAGCCAGGCATAGTGGCGTGCCCCTGTAATCCCAGCTACTCGGGAGGCTGAGACAGAAGAATGGCATGAACCTGGGAGGCGGAGCTTGCAGTGAGCCAGGATCGTACCACTGCACTCCAGCCTGCGTGACAGAGCAAGACTCCATCTCAAACAACGAAAAAAAAAGAAATTCTGTCAACACAGGTGAAACACATTCTAGAAAACACTGATTGTTAGGCTCATAACCACAAGCTTAGGAATTTCAAAGTTAGGTTTACTTTGAGGAAAAGAGAGCTTACACCAAAAATGAAATTTGAAACAACTGCGCTCTCCCTCTCCAGGCCCACGCAATTAGCGGAACACACTGAATTTCAGCAAGATTCCATGCCTCCTCTCCACACCTGGCTTCCTCATCCTGCAGAGCTCACAAGACAAAAGGCAGTTCCTGAAACTGTCTTCATCCTCAGTGTAAGACTCCAGGCCACTAACAAATTCTTCTATTATCTTAATAAGGAGATTTAAAAAATAAAAAAGAATAAATTTTTAGTTTAATATTTGCTGTTAAAAATCATTTTAGCCCACTCAACTTTATACCAGTGTCCTTAAATTCCAAATTCTAGAGTTATGCTGGCACAAGCAAAAATACCAGGGGAAAAATACATACTTTGGGATAGGAAGGGTGTCTCTTCAGGGTCTGAAAGAGCTTCTTTTGGAAAGCTATTTGGTCCACAGCTATGCAGAAAAAAGAAGAGCTGGTCACCAGTTTCCTACCATAGTTTTCCTTCTCTAAAAACCCGTTTCTTCCTGATAAAACCAATAAAAATATTTTTGACTCTCTTTCAATCACAAATAAAATCTTTTTTCTTTTTTTTGAGGTGGACTCTTGCTCTTGTCACCCAGGCTGGAGTGCAGTGGGGTGATCTTGCCTCACTGGAACCTCCGCCTCCCAGGTTCAAGTGATTCTCCTGCCTCAGCCTCCCAAGTAGCTGTTACTACTGGCACCCGCCACCACGCCTGGCTAATTTTTTTCTATTTTTAGTAGAGATGGGGTTTCACTGTATTATCCAGCATGGTGTCGACATCCTGACCCCGTGATCCGCCTGCCTCAGCCTCCCAAAGTGCTGGGATTATAGGCGTGAGTCACCGCACCCGGCCTAGACTCAAATCTTCTAAACCTACATAAAAGACTTAGCTTTGATAGCAGATAGCCACTAAGTGCTCTAAAAAAGACCTGCCATAACCTTAGCAAGATAGAATAATCTGTTCCCCCAAAACACAATCTTACATGGCTCTATAAATTTTCTTTTGAAATTACTCTGACACTGATATAGTTGCTTTCTGGATATTTATTTTTTCATAAGAAAACAAAAGAAATAATAGTATATAACATTTTTTCTAATGAAAGGATTAGAAATGCTTTACTTAACAGGTAGCAATGAGGACCAAAGACTGTACCATTTTCTTTTTCTTTTTCCTTTTTTTTTGAGACGGAGTCTCACTCTGTCACCTAGGCTGGAGTGCAGTGGCGTGATCTTGGCTCACTGCAACCTCCACCTCCCGGGTTCAAGCAATTCTCCTGACTCAGGCGCCTGAGTAGCTGGGACTACAGACGCACGCCGCCATGCCCAGCTAATTTTTTGTATTTTAGTAGAGACATGTTGCTCAGGTTGGTCAGGAATTCCTGAGTTCAGACAGTCTGCCCGCCTCGGCCTCCCAAAGTGCTGGGATTTATAAGCGTGAACCACCATGTGCGGCCTGGCTGTACCATTTTCTAAAAAGCAATTTCAACTTTGTCTCAAGATGGATGGTCCTGTCATTTCTAATCTTCATTGCCTCTGTTTAGAAAACCCATGATTGGCCAGGTGCAGTGGCTCACACCTGTAATCCCAGCACTTTGGGAGGCCGAG